GTTTCATTCGAAATGGGGAAGTTGAAATAACCGGAATAACTGAAAAAGTGGCAACAACTCCGCCACGTTTTGAAATCACACTGTACATGAATAAAAAAACCTAGCAACAGGTTACCGAGATATTCATCTGTTTCCATACATATCAGCGACCCTGTATATGAGGGAAATATTCAGTAGTAATATCCCTGGACATTGATACTAGACGAGATGAATTTAGAACTACCGAAAGCTCGTTCTTTAGGCTTCGAGCTGTTACCAAGCAACGAGCTTGAGAAATTTGTCCTAAAAATTATGAGGCGTTTGTCCTAATTACAAAATCCGCCATTTTGGATCCGCCATTTTGAATTTCATAATTTCGACGAAGGAATCATAATCCCCGATCACGAAAACCTCTAGGTACCAATTTTGAAAAGATTCGGATTATAATTACAAAACTCGTCCGCCATATTGGTTCCGCCATCTTAAATCTCTTAATTCCGCCCGAATTTTCAAATTCTGACGAAAGAATCATAATCTCCGACTCCGAACACCCCCAGATAGCAATTTTTAATTGAATCGGACCATTATTACAGAACTCATCCGATATATTAGATCCGCCATCTTGAATTTCCTAACGGTACCGGTACCGTCTCCTGGTTCTAAGCTACCTACCAACCAATTTTCAGCCAAATCGATCCACTACTTTCGGAGCCTATTCAATACATACAAACAAATAAACAATCAAATCTTTGATCTTTATAATATTAGTAGGTATAGATTTCATTTATTGAAAATAGGAGAAAATCTAAAAATTCATAAACTAGTTATTTGTTTTACTAAGCAGCAAAATAGTAGATTGACTGCCGAGGCTGAATTCATAGCCGAGCGTAGCGATTTCTCCGATTGTTCATAATGATATAGGAGGATATTGTATTTTAAAATTATTACCATTCCCAAAGTTTCTTCATTTTTCCTGTAGTGTTCAATTAAAATAAAATTTTATAGAAATCGCAGCTGTTGGAATGGTTGGTTGCTATGGAAATGTCCATAATAATTATAGTTTGACAATTCATGAAATTTCTGACAGTCACAGTTGTGCGAAAAAATGTCGGTATATTTAAATTATTTTATAATGGACAGTGATAGCGACCTGGAAGTACTTACTCCTCCAGAAATAAGCGAGGTGGCAAAAAAGATAGAGTTGAATTTGTTGCCGAAGAAGTCTCAGATGAAATATGAAGGAAATTATAAACGATTTATGGATTATTAATTTTGCTGATACATATCAATCAGCAAAGTAACCACTTTGCTGCCTAGGCAGGAAAAGTAATACTTTGCTGATTGATATGTGTCAGCTAAATTAATATTTGCTGCCAATCGGAGAAAAATTAATATCCCACCTGCCCAATCAACCTACGGACAAAGTACACCACTGGTTTCGAGCCAATTTCAATTGAACTTCGCGTGATAAGCTAGTCTGGACGTCTCGAAAAAAAAAACCTGATGGTATAGGTATTCGATCAATTTATTACGTTATTTTTTCCCTTTCGTTTTAGCTGACAGTACCTCATACATATATGTAACGTTTTCTAGATCAGATTAAGTCTGTTTAAATTATTGAGATGAGGCCATATAAAATTCAAAGCGTTGCCCATTGGCCGATGCGGCCGAAACAGCTCAAGATTTTGGTTATTCTCTTCAGGTACATCTTGAGATACGCACGCATTAAGCTACTGTAATTTTCGATTTCGGTCAGACCTTTTAGGGTTCCTAGAAACCACACTCGGTTTTGATAGTTTAATTATGTTTGTTCAACATTTGTGGTGCTTCATCGACTTCTTCAGTCAGAAAAATGTAAGTTCAATAGCTATTTGTGTATTTAGAGCGCAAAGTGATAGATTGCCGCTCGACAAAGAAAGTTACCGCGCGATGCGGAGCGGAGCGCGGTAATCTTTGGAGAGCGGCAATAACACTTTGTGCTCGAAATACACACAAGATTTTTTCTACTAACGCAGCTTTTGGAAATAACTGCCCTGAAAGTATGAGCGATTGAAATAGTTGAAAAAGTTCTTATCCATATTATCCCATATGTCTGAAAGAAACAAAAAAAGAAAAATTTAAATAATTGACAAGCCAGAAAAAAAATTTCGGGCCTACCGAGAATTGAAACTGGACCACCAGCGTGGCAACCTGAGCTTCAGTCCTCTGAGGCATAGTACGATAAACTCTGCAATCAAATTGAACATTACTCATTGATGCAATAAATAAAGATACACTGTCTTTCTGATGACAACAAAGAGTTTAAATATAAAGTATAATTCATCGTTTTCAACAGATATGCTTCATCGGGAGCTTCTTGTAGAAATTTGTTGGTATATATCTTCAGCGGTGAATGTTTTGGATTTTTCTCGCTTTATATCCAATAGATTGTTTCTTGAGAAATGCAATAAGTTTCAGATACTTATTGATTCCGATATTATCTTTAACATTCAAGCATGTATACGTACCATCGAATATATAGACCAATGAGTTGATGACTTCAAAGTCTTTGATTTTTTACCAAAATAAGCCAGTAAAACGTTTTCTGGATACATATTCATCATCTAGGAGTGGCACCAATTTATGAATGTTATCATATTGTAATTCATATTTCTTCCTTGATTTCTCCGATAAGAGATTCAAACTCTTGCGCTTTCTGCTGTATCAGGAGGTGTGTTTGATGATTCACTGTCACTATTTTCCATCATGAAAGAATTGGGGGATTTCAAGAATTACAGAGATGAGCGAGCGTTTTTTCAATATTTCCGCCCACGAGCGCAAATGCTGTCAAAGAATGACATTTCTGGGAAAACGTCAACTTTGTGCTGGAATTTGAAAGCGTCAAAGGCTACTTTGTTAAGCGTTTGTCGAAAAAATTAGTTTTCAAAACAATTGTACCAGTTGAATTCAAAACATTGTTACTTTCCATTTCTATGTATATGACAATAAAAAATTGAATTGTAATAGCAACAAATTATTTGGGAAACTCACTATGGTATGGTGAAAATTACCCTACAATTTTTGCCGCTTGATTACAGCGAATATTGCATACTTGGAATCAAAAATACTCAACTGCTTTTTCAATGTGAACATTGATTTGTTCATTCTAGTAATGTAATGTAGTAAATTACACTCGTACATCAAGATATTCAGATAATAATTTTTGTTTACATTCATTTTTATATTTTGGCGAAAGGGGCTGGCTCCTTCGCCATTTTTTTAAATGTGTAGGACAAATTGAAATAATCAGAAATAGATAGCAGTCTTGTTTTGATAAATCAAGAAATTACCAAATTTTCCTGACCACTACTACCAAGATTATTTTCTCGGTAAAATGACCAGTCTCACAAACACTCCCATACTTTTTTTTTCAATAACATAATATCTCGGTTTCATTTCACACACTAAATACTACTAATATAGTTAATTATGTACTAATGACGAAAAACTGTCTATTATAGTCGAGTCCACAAACTGATAGCCGAGGCCCTAGCCGAGGCTAGCAATCAGGCGAGACAATAGAAAGTTTCTCACCGTGGTGCATATTAAATTTTTTCGTCGACCTCAAACATTTATCCATATTACGGTCCCAGAGATTAGCCAACGTGCAATCTATAGGATTTCGTGAATAATTAATTTGACAACAAATGACAGTTCATTTCATCAGTAAATACCTATTCAGAAATTCAGATCTATTTTGTGCTATACGAATTTCAAGAAAGGATAATGAAATAAAGCTATGACGTCAAATCATTATGTACTTTTTGTAAACAGAAAAGAAACCTATTCCCAACAAAATAGAATCAATCAAAACGAACATTCTCATAAAAAAATAACCATATCCCTGGGTCTCAATTAAAAAATACTCACAAATATTACAAAATACAGTTAGATAGGTACTTATGAAATTTAAGTACATAAAAACCAGGAACGAATAGTAAAAATCATTACCACTAGACCCCATGTGTGATGAAATCAGCTCTTCAGGGAGAATCTAAAGATACAATGAAATACAGGGTGTTCCATATGAAAAAATCAAGTAGTACTCTGTAGATCGTTTGTTCAGAGCACCCTGTATTTTCTGATGCAACGTGAAAAAAAATTCTGAAAAATCATTGTAGATGACTCTCAAAATTTTTGAATCGGTTCAAAAATAAGTGAGCTAAAGGGGGGACATTTATGTGGAATCACCCTGTACGAGATCTCGGCACAAATTCCATACTCCTGAGGTCAAAATAAGCCAATTTCCATCAACTTACCTCAATTCGAAATTGATCCATTTTCGAAATACAGGGTTGTAAAGTTAAAAAATTAAAATCGAATTTTTCAAAATATATTAATATTTTTTAATGTATCTCTTTTGGGATAAGATACCCGAATACAAATACCTTTTCACGGTGCCAGAGGGCGCTTACCAATGCACTTCTGATTATGGTTTAGAATGACCAATTTTATTTTATTCTATCAATGTAGATTTCCACTTTTTTTGTTGAGGAAATAATTTTCTGAAAATTTTCCAACAAAAAAGGTACACTCGTGAAAGATCGCTAAAGTAAGCCGTTTTCCAGATACTTGGGTTCTTATTAATTGATGCTAGATGGGAATATCTAAATTATTAGGACTGTACATAAAATTTAGCTTATAAATTCCCTGTATATTCTCATATATGCAAATTCATTTTTTTCCTGATTTCAACTTTGCACATAATTCAATTTTAATAGTACATAGAGTATTAAGTACTTTAAGCATCAAGTACAATCTAATAAGTTTTTAGGTACTTTAGTACATACTAACATTACCATTAATAATTAAATACATGTATCATTATTTCTTAATTATATTTTTAGTACTAGTTTTAAATGTTTCAAGTACTTTTCAATTGCCAGATATTTAAATATGATATACACATTTTGGGTAGTTGTTTTCCCCTCCTAATCAGTAGACCTATAATATTGAAAAATGGTAAAAATATCAGCTGAAAAAAAAAAAGTATTCAAGAGATGATTTTCAATATATTGTATTTTCATAAACAATGCACAGTTTATTCAGGAAATGTATACAAGGATCCACATAAATAATACTTTTTATTATTATCAATCATATTATTTTTTGTATATTAGACAAAAAAATATTCATCTTCAAAACCATTCCTTTTATTTCAGGTATCTCTGCATGTTGGATTTTTGGATCAAACCAAAAGAGTTGTTCAATCATAAGGCCTTGTACATTTTTATTTTGAAAGAAACACTAACTTACACTACAGATTAATTATTCCTCTACCTTCTTGTATTTATATTTACCCCTCCAATGCTTTGGCAAGGGACAAGTTCCAGGACAGGGAACTTGTCCAGGAATTTCACACATACAGTGTCTTTCACAGCCAGTTCCAAAGTTGGCAGGGTTGTCCTTTTTCTCCTTAGCTATTGCTTCTGCCTTCAACACACTCCTAAAAAAATGTAATGAAACAGCTTTCAATATCAGTAGGTATATCACTTCCATATCACACAATCAGTGGCAGATATTTGCAAATATTGTTCACTGTAGGAATCACTCACTTTGTTTTTCCTACTACAGTTATCAGATGATCATGTATTTCTTCTTTCGTTCTATCAAAAGTATCTATCAACATTTCATCCCCAGTTTCTGGAAAAATACAAAATCGATACTTACAATAACTTAACTTATACATTAACTGAATAGATCTCACCATAAAAGCACCTGATAAAAGGAGTTGGTGTCATATTCTTCAAGGTGGCAATCTGCACATGTGGATTCTTGTACTGAACTCGGGGCAAGAACCAAAAGACAAAGTCCCTGAAACGAATCGGTCATCAATACAGTTTCAATGTTGAATTTCATTTCATAACTTACTTTGTGCCCTGATGAGGTTTTCCTGCTATGTTGTAGTTGATGGTCATAATTTTGATTTGATCTTTCAGCACTAGTTTACCTGCTTCCAAGTATTTTATGGTTCTTCTTATAGGAGAAGGCCCTTTCATAAAAGGCATGATTCCTCCTTAGTTTCTACTTTGGTGTGGTTTGGTTTTCAGTTTTTACACATTTCAAATATAACAAAAATTCATCTTGTTCTGTTTCTAAGATTAGTAGGTTAGGTTACGTCAACACTTCTTCTTTTTATTTGTTGATCTTTCTCTAACTGTCCTAACTCTTGAGTTACACTGTTAGCAGAGAACTAGCATGTTAAAAGACTGTTGACGGGTGGAACGTTGCCATATGTCCAGTGGCGGCGAAAAATATAAGTTGATAAATTCAAGGCATTCTAGTCGAGCTGTCGACAATAATTGGCTGTCGAGCGTCTATTATTCAATAATTAAACTTTTGATTCACCGTATCTTATTACTAATACCTACTTCTATAAAAGAGAATGAGTAGCTAGTAGATATATAGGTACATAACAAGTGGACATAACTTATTAAATTGGAGATATTTTCAAATATTCAAATTTATTCACGGAAATAGGGCATGTGGAGAAGAAAATTATTCATATGCTAGGTTAGTTCATGAATATAAAATTTTGAAATGCAAAAACAACTTGACCGCCAACTGGAGGACCGGAAATAGGAGATCATTAATAATAATGAGAAGTTCTTGGATCGTATATCTACTTGCTATACATATTTCGTGAATGAGAAATGTATTGAAACCGTATCAATATAGCAAGAAAACATTATATAGCTACCCATATACCTACCTAATTAATCAAATTTCCATATTTTATCTCAGACGAATCAAGAAATATAAACTTACCATATCAAGTCGATCAGTTTATGATGTAGGTATATAATATATGTATATATTATGGTTCTTAGCTATATATACTCATTGTTTGTTTCCCCAAGAAGAGATATTATATTCGTCAAGAATTTGTTTCAGATTCAGGAATGATTAAGATTCATTCGTTACCTATTTATTCATTATTATCACCTGTATACGAATATACGAATAGAAGGTACGAAATGTATTTTCTCTAAGTGTATTACGTGATATGATACTACAATTCTAAAACTGCATCAGTCAGCACCTTTCAAATTTGCAAGATTGAGTAATTTTCTCATGTCTGTCGTCAAACATTGAACATAACACGACGATACACAGTGGGCCCAACAATATAATAGGTGCATGGGTATAGATATATATATATATATTTATTAGGTTCTCTATTCCCATCAGATTCTATCTGAATTTTTTCAAATAAAGTAGGCGAGTTGATATAAGCTCTAGGTACATACTGCCTCTACTTATACATGATTATTATGTCAATGTGCGCAGATATTCTTAACAACATGAATTATTCAACCATCTTTTCCAATATCAGAACCATAAAAAATATGCGGTAAGTATAAATCTACTCGATATAAGTTGAAAAAGTCAATCAAAAAATTCCCAACCCGAAACGAGAATAGTTTACCTATATCCTTATATATACCTAGTGATTTAATGTAGGTATGTAAGTTCCAACTTATTAGTTGTTATTTTGGAAAATATATTACGTATTAAGTATATAAATTGATATATTTTTTTCAATCCTAATAAAAAGAATGAATGAAATGATGGAATCTAATTGCGGAATCTAATATTTTTCTAGCTCTCTCTGTAATTTTAAAAGGAAATTGGTGTTCATAGTTTCATCAAGATTATGCCATTTTTTTATTGCAAAGATTATGGCTTTATAGCATTTCCTACTACCTATAATAGAGGGGTCCTGAAAATATACTATATCCCCTCAAAGTGTTCGTCGTCAGTTCAAAATTTTAGTTCTAAGGGAAATTTCGATTATGGTGAGTGAAAATTAACAATAAAAGAGGCTCAAGGGTTGGCAAAACATTAATTAATAGCATTAGTTTCTGATTGAGTGAAGTTTCAGGGATTGTAGTTTACTAATCAAAGTCAAAAATATGCCCTAAAATACCAGAATAATATGTTGCCATCTTCAGTAAAACTGAAAAGAAAATGAAGATTAGTTGACTCATAGAGGTATTCTTTAGATATTTTGATATCCTATTAATACCCCAACTATTTCACTATTAAGATAAAATTGATTGATTCAAAATACTTACGTAAAGTATATGTATTAAAATTGAACAATGTTTGATTACAGGTTATTTCGACAACCTGGCTGACGATACTACTAATTTTTCTAGTCTTCTACCTTTTGTACCGATATCTTATCAGAAATCACAACTACTGGAGAAAAAAAGGAGTGCCTTACGAAGACCCTATATTACTTGCAGGTATGTATATACAGGGTGTTAATTAAATATGTGGCCAAACTTCCTAGGGCGATTTTTTATTAGTGATTCTAAGACGAAAAATATTACCAACTTTCCATAAGATACACATCAGTGTCGAACTTTAAAAAAAATTAGCATGAAAAAACAAATAAGACAGCAATATTTCAACAAAATTTTATCAGAGGTTTATCTTGCAAACGTGTTTCCGGAATCACTCAAAAAATCATTTCCTGAGGTTTGGCCACATACTTTAATAATACTCTGTATACCTAAGAAATTTCCAAGAATTCCATGATAAAAAATATTAAACGAGGTATTGATTGAGAAGTTACAGATAAGAAATCAATTTTTGAACAATCACTCTATCCTTGTATTTATTATCTCAATGACTTCTGTTAGTATATTTACAAGATGTTTTACTATAGGTATTGAAAATATGCTTATTTTCCTATACATCTTCGATATCATACCACAATCGCCAAAAAAAAAATTATTGACATGATGAAATTCAGGATCGTTTTTTTTTTTTCAAGTGAAGTTTCCCTTATATTTTTTCATCAAATCTTATACCGGGTCTAACAGGATTTTTTTTAATTTTTTTTTATCGCTTGGAGCGCACGAAACGGGATCCCTATAATGTTCAAAGAACTCTAGTCAGGATCAGATCATTTGTCTACAGAGTGAGATAAATAATGACTAAAAGTCACTAGAAATTCGATTTTTTTTAACAATAAAAAGTAGAAGAAAAAACTAAATAATACCAATAAAAAAATAACATCATTTATATTTTGATACAGGGAGAAACTAAAAATGAAAAATATCAAAATTTTTCATTGAATAACTAACACCCTATTGAATAGGCTAGTCCGATAGTCGTTTTTGAAATTTGGACCCCTTCCATAAACAAAAATAGGCCTTGAAAATCCGAATATTTCAGATTTGTTCACATTCTCGAAAAGAGCTCGTCTAGTACTATATCATGGAATTCTTGTTTTTGTAAATCAGTAGACCGGTTCCAAATTCGAAGGGTGTTGCACCCGAGTTGAAATCGCACAAACTGTATACAGGGTGAGTCATGTTGAAATGTACAGACTCCTACCACGAATATAGGCCATTGAGGGGAAAATGAACATCAGAAAGTGTCTCCTTCTCTTCTTTACCAATATATAGGGTGAATTATGAGATTTGTCAAAATAATCTTTTGGGCATAACTTTTCAACATATCCCTCGATTCGTCTGATTTTATTATGGAATATTCCTCTATATACTAAACCCTAATCGACTGACATTTCCAGGATCAGAAAAATCTAGGACCGTTTTGGAAAAATTCAGATAGTTCAGTTTTTATGAAAAAGTTCATCCTGATGTATATGATAGGGAATTTTCAAAGCACACAAACAAGCATCAAGAATTGAATATTCAAAATTATCCTCACACTTTCACTGAATTTTTGAAAAAACGATAAATTTTAAGCAAAAACGAAAGTTTGGCAACAAAATAATTACGTCGCAACCCATATACCGGGTGGCTACGGAAGTATTGCCTGAGGAATATCTCAGTTATTGTATGAATTAGGTTTGTGAAATTTGGAGCGTCGATATAATGACATAAGAGCTAGAATTTGAGCATATTGACATGTCGAAGTTAACTTCCGGTCTGACCGGAAGTAACATCAACTTTCTTATTTTAAATGGAAACCCTATTTTTTTCTTTTCGCTTTATTCAGCATTCAATTCCCTTTCTAATGATATATCACAAGTTGGTATCTAACCAGAAACTAGATCAGGAAAAAATTATTATTAAAATTCACCGAGTAGGCCGTGGAAGCAAAATGAAAGCCAAAAATTGAAAAGTTGGCTATGGAAACCAGACGTCACTTGATAACAGTTGCTACTACTGTGATATTTTATTTTCATTCGTCGGCGTTATAAAAAGCCGCCAAAAAAAATTGGAAAAATTGGGAAAAAACAATACTCTGTATGTCCATAACTTAAAAAGGAACATACAACTTTTTCTTGCCTGTGCCCTGTACTATTCAGCATAACCATTCCTTTCTAATGATATAATAGAAAGTCATTTTTGGCTTTCATTTTGCTTCCACGGCCTACTCGGTGAATTTCAATAATAATTTTTTCCTGATCTAGTTTCTGGTTAGATACCAACTTGTGATATGTCATTAGAAAGGGAATTGAATGCTGAATGAAGCGAAAAGAAAAAAAAAAGGGTTTCCATTTAATAAAGTTGATGTCACTTCCGGTCAGACCTGAAGTTAACTTCAACATTCATTCTAGCTCATGTCATTACATCGACGCTCCAAATTTCACAAACCTACTTCATACAATAACTGAGATATTCCGTAGGCTATACTTCCGTAGCCACCCGGTATTTCACAAATAGAAATATGTTCAAAAGCTATACTGACAAAGGAACATAATAATTCTAGTACGGAAAATAAGTGACCAATCGAATAGATAATACTATGAATTGAAATCATAAGATTATCTGTATAGCGATGGCCATCAACGTTTTCACAAATACCCCATCCACTGATTCGAAAAAGATCTACAGGGTGATTACTATATCATCCACAAAAAAATTTAATTACTTAATTCAGGCCTGAAGATGAAATAATATGGTGATTTCCATAATGAATGAATTTTTTGCCAAATTTTCGTTTTTTTATAAAATTCATAGTTTTTTCAAATTGAAGTGAAAGTGTGAGGAAAATTTGAAATATTTCAACTTTAATGTTTGTTTGCGACCCTTGAAAATTCCCTGTTACAGTTTACAAAAACGATATACAGGATGAACTTTTTGCTATTAACTAAACTATCAAAATTTTTCAAGAACGACGGTCCTGGATTTTTCCGATTCTGAATAAATCAGTCGATTAGAGAGTAGTAGCCGAATATTCCATGAAAAAATCATAATTCACCCTATATATTGGAAAAGAAATGATGAAGGAACTTTCTGATGGAAATTAGGTATTCGTGGTAGGAGTATGTACAGTCGTCTTCAGAGATAATGTCGTGGTTGGACGGTGTCAGCGCTCTTATTGCAGGAGTTATTAAGAATACTATCATCGTCCATATGCGACATTTTTTCTGAAGACGACTGTACAGGGTGATTCACCATAAATATCCCCCCCCCGTCTAGCTCAGTTATCTTTAAACCGATTTCAAAATTTGACATTTCATCTTGAATGATTTTCGATACAGTTTTTTTCTGCTACATCAAGAAAAACAGGGTGCTCAGAACAAACGATCTACAGGGTACTATTTGATTTTTTTAAATTGTACACCCTATTTTTCATTGTATTTTTAGATTCTCCCTGAAGAGCTGATTTGATCAATGCATCACACTTGGGGTCTAGCGGGAATGATTACAGAGATATAGGGTATTCAAAATCCAGATTTTCCAACTTTAGGATTTTTTTTGTGACGAAACTATTTATTATTGGTCAAAACGGCTCTCATGTCCGTATCTTGACTTTTGATTTACTATCTACTGACATTTAATTGGAACATTGACAGGGTGGTTCAAGATTCAGAATCCTGATCACTCATCTGTATCTGTTCCAATTATTAAATGTCAGTAGATAGTAAATCAAAAGTTAAGATACGGACATGAGAGCCGTTTTGACCGATAATAAATAGTTTCGTCACAAAACAAATCCTAAAGTTGAAAAATCTCGATTTTGAACACCCTATATCTCTGTAATCATTCCCGCTAGACCCCAAGTGTGATGCATTGATGAAATCAGCTCTTCAGGAAGAATCTGAAAATTCAATGGAATACAGGGTGTTCCATTTGAAAAAATCAAGTAGTGCTCTGTAGATCGTTTTTTCCGAGCACCCTGTATTTTCTGATGCCACGGGAAAACATTTTTGAAAAATCATTTCAGATTATTTCTCAAATTTCAGAATCGGTTCAAAAATAAGTGAGCTAGAGGGGGGGACATCTATGGTGAATCACCCTGTACAGTTCCTCATGACTCACCCTGTATAAATTTTGGCATTTAGTTGCATGATATCCAACCAACCACTTTCCCCAGGCAGCCTCTGGGACGTCTTCAAGGGCAAAAGGCAGATAGGAAAACACCTAGGCCACCTCTACACCAAATACAACACCCCGTATTTCGGCATACACATAATGGGCAAACCCTACTTAGTCCTCAGAAGCCCAGAAATCATCAAAAGCGTCACTATAAGGGACTTCAACAACTTTGAAGATAGAACATTCGCCTGCGACAAAAAGGCTGACCCAATGTCAGGTAACAGCCTCTTTATCCTGAGGAATCCCCACTGGAAGAACATCAGGAATAAGCTCACTCCGATTTTTACTTCTGGAAAGCTGAGGCTCATGTTCCACATCATGAAGAAGTGCTCTAAAGAGATGCAAGGCTACCTAGATCGTTTTGACGGAGACATCCTGGAGATCAAAGAGGTTTCAGCCAAGTACATGACTGACTTGGTAGCCTCTTGCTTCTTCGGTTTCGAGGCTAACTCTTTCAAGGAAAAAGACTCTGAGTTTCGCAAAGTCAGTAGGAAGATCTTCGATTTTAACTTCTACTCGGTTTTCAGTATGTTTTCGTATTTTTTCGTGCCCAGTTTCGTGTCTTGGTTCAAGTTGAAGCTTCTGGATACGGAGTACCTGGAAAAGGTGTTTCTGGAGACGTTGAGGTATAGGGAGGAGACTAAGATGAGGAGGAATGATTTTGTGGATTTGTTGCTGCAACTCAGGGATGATTTTAGTGATGGCAACAGTGGAACCCGATTTGGTAAGGAAAACTAGTAAAGGGCCTGCATGAAAACATGGGAAATTGGCTCTCGGTCGAATTAGCTGAAATTATACTATGTTGATGTGGGATGGCTCATTAAAAAAATATGTGAGTTTGAAAAGTTGTGTATGTTTAGTTTCGGTGTAGGATTGCGACAAGGAAAAAAACCTGTTTTTAGTATAAGACAAAGTAAGTTGAAAATTGTACTGATTGGAACTCCTAAACATGTCTAGCTTCAATCACGTGAATTATATTGAATCAGGGTATATACGAGGCACGGTCAAAATATTCTAGCACTATTTGAAAATTCAGCAAGTTATATTTTGGTGAGACATTATAGTCTCAGTATATTGTATTTTGATTCTTGATACCTATCTCTGTTCAAATATGAATTTTTAAAATTTTGTATCATACAAACGACGCCCGTTTTTAAAAACTTTGTCGGCTTATATCTCAATAAGTACACAAAACTCTTGAAACTCAAATATTTTTCTAATGAGCCATCCCACAACAACATGGTAAAATTTCAGCATATTCGACCAAGAGCCAATTTCCCATGTTTTCGTACGGGGTCCAATAAAAAACAATAAATTTCAAACAGAATTTGCAGAAAAATCCATATATAAGATAAGTTGATATTATTAATTTTCACAATTTCAATTTAGTTTAACACCGCAATTCTTTAGCAGAAGTAAAAATGATTTTGAAAATTCCTCATTTTAGTGAATTTTATTGATTTGGACGAAAATATTTTGACCCAGGTATCCTTGAAGAACAAACAAAAGTAGGCCTTGAAAATCTGAATATTTCAAATTTGTTCACGTTCTCGATAAATATAATAATTTTAAAAAATCACAAAAAATCAATTTGTTCCCGGTTATTGATTTTCTGAATATTTATATTTGTTTCAAAACCGCACATTTTTCATCACTAGTTACGAATTGAATAACAAGGATTAAGAAAATAGTAGGAGTTATGACATTCAAAAATCTATAACAGTCAATTTGGTTCATATTCTTGAAGTTGCCAAAAATTTTGATTCAAAATTACTTTGAAAAACTTCAGGAGGCGATTCCTTGAATTTGAATTGTCCAAATAAGTATATTATGTCCAGAGAAGCTTCGCTTCTAAGATACAGGCTGTTGAAGTTTTATTTTTATTTTCGTTTTTTCAAATAACTTTCGAAATGAGGTGTCGAATTCAAACCTGTAGGGGCGCCAAAAGACGTGTATATGTTTTTTTTCGTTTTGGAGATTCATAATTTTTCTTAGCGTACTTCTAGCATGATTTTTAGTATGAAATATCTACGTAAAAAAGCTACCCCCGGTACAAGTCGCTATTAGCAAACGTTTTCTAGATATTTGGACTTGAAAATTTCAATAATTTATTTGATAATCGATGCATGTGAAGTTATTACAATTATTTTGCATTTTTCGAAAGAATGCTTAAGACATATTTTTTTCTAGTCATAATACATCATATTATTTCATCCGATTTTCATTGTTCATGCTCTCTTTTTGGATGTTCAACAGATATAATTAAATGTTCGACCTGGCAAATAGACAGGAAAGTAGTTGTTTTCTGTTAAATAATCCGAGAAAGGATTGATATTTTCATCATATAGAGAATGCGAATTCTCTTTATATTTCTCTATATATGTATGTATCATTTTTTTATGTTCTTAATTATATCTAAGAATATTCCTTTTTAATGCTTAGGAAATTAACTTGACGTTTGAGTAAGTAGTTTTCTACATTGGACAGTTGAGACAGTTGAACGTTTTGTTGATGCTTCAATAATCAAAACTTCTTATAAACACTAATCTTAAAAAAACAAAACTTCAACACCCTGCATCTTGGAAACGGTTTTCCTCCACAAATCGTGAGAAAAAAAAAAGAAAAACAGATTTGAAACAATCTGAAAATACAACAAAAATTTATTTCTATATGAATCAAGTAATTTTAGCGATTTTCAGACACGAACTCGATGGTAGCACAAGCCCTGACCTTCTTCATTGCTGGTTACGAAACCACTAGCAATGCAGTAGCTTTCGTCCTTTATGAACTTTGCCTACGTTTAGACTGCCAAGAGAAGCTGAGAGAAGAAATCAACCAGCACATGAAATCCGAGGACGATATCACTTTTGAGAACATCCAAAAGTTGAAATACTTGGATATGGTTCTCTCTGGTAAATAAAAAACACAACAATTTAGTGAAGAGACAAACGCCCAATGATTTTTCTTGAAATTGAATGCAATACTTTCTTTGTTTATACAGGGTGTCCCATTGGGAAACGGAAAAACTTCAACAGTGGGTAGAGCTCATCAAGGTGGTTCTGAATATACCATATTTGTAGGGTCTCGCAAGTTTTTTTATCCGAGATATAGGGTGTTTTATCAATTTTGTTCAATTCTTCGTGAGGACATAACATGAACCACCCAGTATATTCAATTGGAATTTGGTGCACAATTTCGCCTTCTTCTACCAAAGCGACTCACTTATCAGTCACGAGAAAAATCCAGGACCGGATCAACGAAAATTGATCATATATCTGGACCCCAAAAATATCACCCTGTATTTTCGAATTCCCAAAATCCGCTCACATATTTGGAAGCTGCATGAAAATCTGAATCGTATGATGTACTTTACATGTTTCCTCATGCTATTTCACTAGGTAATTTCTGATTTTGATTATGAGGTTTTATGCATTTGGATAGGTAAAAATGAAATGTTTTGAGTTTTTCCAATCGAATAACAAAAACTATCACGAATCACCCAGTATATTTTTTAGGAATTTGGAACACAAGTCTTCCTTCTTCTACCCCAGAGACTCACCTATCAGTCACGATGAAAATCCAGGTCCGGATTAACGAAAAATTATGATCTTCTGGGCCCGAAAAAGAACACCCAGTATTTTCGAATTTCCAAAATCCGATTCCATATTTGGAAAGTTGACAAAAAGATGAATCGAATTCTGTATTTTTCAATATCCCGCATGCTCTTTCACTAAATAATTTCTGATTCTGAAAACTCAAAACTTTCCATTTTACCTCGATTTCTACCTATCCAAATACATAAAACCTCAAATAGCATTCGTATGAAGATAAAAAGTAAACAAACCGATTCAGCTTTTTGTGCAATTTTCAAATATGTGAGCATATTATGGAAATTCGAGAATACAGGGTGTTCTTTTTGGGGCCCAGATATATAATCAATTTTCGTTAATTTGGACCTGGGTTTTTCTCTTGAATGATAGGTGAGGGGCTTGGGTAGATCAAGGAGAACTCGTGTACCAAATTCCAAAAAAATATACTGGGTGGTTCGTGATAATATTAATCGATTGGGAAAACTCAAGTCATATTATTTTTACCTATCCAAATGCACAATACCTACCTCGAATTCAAAATCAGAAATTCCTTTGTAAAATTGCATGTGGGAAGATGAAAAGTACACCACTTGGTTCAGCTTTTTGTGCAATTTCCAAATATGTAAGCAGATTTTGAGAATTCGAAAATACAGGGTGTTCTTTTTGGTGTCCAGAAATATTATCAACTTTTGATAATCCGAACCTGGATTTGTGGAATTGTGTACCAAATTGCAAAAGAATATACTAAGTGGTTCGTAAGTTATGTCCTCACAAAGAATAGGGCAGGGCAAAATTGATAAAACACCCTATATCTCGAATATAAAACTTGTGAGACCCTACAAATATGGTTTATTCAGAACCACCTTGATGAGCTCTACCCACCGTTGAAGTTTTTCCGTTTCCCAATGGGACACCCTGTATTGTACTCAATAGCTACCTCAGTAAACATTGGTCGTACAAAAACGTTTGAAAAATGAAGTACTTACTGCCTTATTTTTACGAAAAAATCAGCTGATTTCCATTGAGCTGAAGCATTGAAATTGTAAGTCTCACTTTTATTCGAGAAATGGATGGGTTGCGAAGTATTAATTTCCAGATAAATACATTTTTGGCCCAAATTTTTTTTTTTTCATGAAATTCATATTTTTTTCCAAACTGCAGAGAAAGTGTGAGAAAAATTTGGAATATTTCATTTTTGATGTTTGTTTGTGACCTTTGAACATTCCCTGTCACAGTTCACAAAAACGATATACAGGATGATATATAAACTGAACTATCAAAATTTTTCAAGAACGGTCCTTGATTTTCCTGATTCTGAATAAGTCAGTCGATTATAGAGTAGTAGCTGAATATTCCATGAAAAAATCAGACAAAGATGTTTTAGCCAAATCTCATAATTCACCCTATATATTGGAAAAGAAGTGAAACAAGACACTTTCTGATGAGCATTAGGTATTCTTCTCAGAGGCCTCTATTCGTGGTAGCAGTATGTACAGTTCCTCATGACTTACCCTGTATGTTTATTGTCCAGCTACATGTATAAGTGTATGGACTTTTTACTGAGTTGTGTAAGTACTCAAAAGTATATTAACACCTATAATTTATCTATGTGTAATACCACTTTATGTAGAATTTTTAAGTTTACGGTACTACTTCGCATTTTCTAGTAGTTACTGAATTCTGGTCGAATGACCATAAAAAATACTTCATATTTGACCAATTGAACGATTCTGTATAAGACCAATATCAACTGAGAAAGCTATTGCGTAAAATACATAATATACACTCACCGGCAAAAAAAACGGCCATCAAAAAATTTTGACAAATTGTTCATCCTGTAACTTTTTTAATCCTTGTCCGATTTTGGTAAAATTTTGACCAAATTTCATATTCCTTTTCCAGAATGTTCCATATTAGTTCCTAAGAGAAGCTGGTGGCTTGATACTTATACAGGCAAAAGCAAAAGTTACTCTTCCACCCTCAACTTCTTAACACCCTGTGGCAAAAGTGAATGGTTAGACTTAACTTCATCATAATTCCGATTGATGTGTGATCCCTTCTTAACACAATGTTTTTTGATTCACGTTGATAACCACTTCTCAAGAGAAGATACAAGGGTTTTAAGAAAGTATGAATTTTTTTATTTTTATTTCTGATTATTCAGTGTCAAACATTGATGGACTAGTTATTCAATACTGAAAAGTGAAAAAAAAATCCACTAAATTATTCAATGCAGCGCTTCGAATTGTTTATGAATTGTATTCATATTTTAATCCGAAGGAGCTTGTCATAATTAAATTTCGAACTAATTATTCCTATAAGTCTATCAATCGGAACTAGTTGATGAGGTATCAGTTTGTTGGCTAATTTTCCTTCAAAATAAGTGGAACTGATGGCATTTTTCCTTTGGAATTTCGAAAAAAACATTGATGATGGCTAAAAATAGTTCGAAACACATTCAAACCACCTTGTATAATAAATGGTTGAATTCAGAATAAAAAAAGCTTTCAGAATCTGTGAAAGAATTATCAGAGCCGTATTCAAAAAACAAAAGTTGATGATGGTTCTACGAATACGAAACGTCGCATAGAAAAATCGGTATCACCACGTTAAACGTCATCAAAAGTTGCTATGAAAAAGTATTTTCAGTTTTCCTGTATCTCTAATAATAACGGAGAAAAAAAAATAAAATAGAGATTATAAAAATTCACTTTTTTCGATATAACTGAAAAACTAAAAAAAATTTTGAAAATTTTCGAAGGCTCTTGGTATGAGCCTCCGAATGCGCAACTTTTTCCCCATTTAACCGACTTCGTATCTCCTACCGTTTCCGAGATCCCCATACTGTGCAACCTTATCTTGGACAGACTGTATATAAAAATTAATTATACCCTGAACTTTGTAGATTGCAAAAACTTTAAACTTTCACGATTTTTTTTTCAGAAACTCTAAGGAGGTACCCTTTTGGTCCTTTCCTCAACCGCAAATGCAAAGAAGATTATGTGATAAAGGAAACCGGTTTGCTGGTAGAAAAAGGGACTCCCATTTTGATCCCCATAGATGGCATCCACAACGATCCCGAATACTACCCAGAACCAGAAAAATTCGACCCAGACAGATTCGTGGACGGAAATAAACAACATTTGTCTCAGTCCTGTGTATATTTGCCTTTCGGAATGGGTCCAAGAAATTGTATAGGTAAAAAAGTGCGAATTTTAGTATTCAAAACTTCGATAGTGCCTCGAATATCTCATAACAGGCTCTATGAAGAGTGTGGACATGCTTGTCATCAGTCATTTTCCTCAGATTTAAAACGTCAGTTATGAAAATTGAATATGGGCGTCCCCCGCAAAATGTTTTCGAACATATCTTGTTCGGTTACGATTGCAAAAATTCTAAATATGTAAAAACCCCACTAACGATGAGATTTCCACAAAATTCTTAAGCATGCCTTTTCCCTAGAAAAGCCGATCTCACTGTGTCCAACATAAGCTTATCAGGAGTAACCATACCTTTGAAGATATCCATTTCGATGCTTTTGGTATTAGTATCAGCAATAACCTTTCTTGGGAAAATTACGTGAGATCAATTGCTAAAAGTGCATCCCAAAAACTTGGTTTTCTGTTTCTGGCCAGGAGCTATTTCACTTCCAGTCAGCTGCTTATGATCTATAAGGCACAGATCCGACCTGTCCTGGAATACTGTTCCCATATTTGGAGTGCAGCACCCAAACATACCCTGAAACTGTTGGATTCTGTTCAAAACAGGGCAATTCGTCTCGTGGGTGATGCCTCGCTCACAAACTCACTCACTTCTCTGGAACACCGTAGAAAAGTTGGCGATCTGGCTCTATTTTATAGATATTTTCATGGACGATGGTCTTCTGAAATATCAACAATCGTTCCTTCCTTGGCAGTCCCCGCGAGATTAACCCTTTGAATTGAGGCTTCGCACCCTTTCGTGGTCACTTTGGAGACCTGCAGAACATCTATTTCCAAAGACTCGTTCATCCAACGAACAACGAGGTTCTGGAACACATTGCCAAGGGAGGTGTTCCTAGAGGCATATAACCTCTAGAAATTCAAGAAGAACACTAATTCCTACCTTATTTTCCTTGGTTCCCACGATGTTCTCTGAACATTACAGGATATCCCTTTTCGTGGGAACCAGAACATAAAAAATATCACACGACATGTTTCGCTATTTTTGAAATCTACAGGGTGATACGTTTTTGGGGGTAGAGGCTTCCTTATCCCCCACAAACTTTTTTGTAATAAGTCCCTCACACCTTGCAGCTAAGAAATTTAATGAGTATATCGTTCAATTTCGAATTTTTGCCTTTCAATTTTTTTCGAGGAACCAACCGTTTTCAGAATAAATAAGCATATCCGTTCTAAAAACATGTTAACTTTGCCTATATTGTTTCGCTCAAATTTTATTATTGGGTGACATCAGCAGAAAATGATATAAAAATGTACTAAAATCACGAATTGAATCAATAGCGGAGGGTAGAACGAAAAGGTTTTGTTAGTTTTAAGTAGGTTGAATTTTCTCCAAGAATAAAATTAATGCGAAATGTAGACGAATTTAACATTTTTCAGAACGGATATGCTTATTTATTTCGAAAACGGCTCGTTTCTCGAAAAAAAATGAAGAGCAATAGAATTCTCTGAATTGAAGATTCCACATATTCCGGTATTCAGATGATGTCAGAGGTGTACTACTCAAAATTTTGGGTAGGATAAAGAAGCCCCCAAAACTGTATGACCCTGATGTAGATTTAGAAAATCTTAAAATTGCTTGAAATGATGATCTTCTAGGAAGTAACAATAACCTCACTAAATTTCAAATTGATAACCTCAATAGTGAGCAAGATATTTTAATTATTAGAAAAAAATAATCAATCTTTGACCTCTTGTAGCTCCGCTACTAATCGAGATCAGACTCATGTTTAGATAGAACAAAACTTTCTTGACAAAAAATGTAGGGAAACGGTCAGTAAATATGAAAATAAAATCATCGATATACTTTCATTGAACGAAATTCTATAAAAATCCCATTTTTCTACTTGGTGTTGGTTGTTACGACCTCTAACGGACGTTTGACAAAGTCGAAAATAATTTCCAGCAATTTCTCTTGGCGACTTTTATAATGATTTTTTTCTTCTCAAATCTATACGACCAATACCTTTTGAGAAATGGCCGCTCGCTACTCTTAACTGATCACCCTGTACCTACCATAAAAATAAACAATGTTCTTGATTTTGTGTTTCAGGTGACAGGTTCGGTTTGATATGTGCCAAAGTGGGGATTGTGTACTTTTTGAAAAAGTTCAAAGTCGAAAAATGCGAGGACACTCCAGTGCCGTTGATTTTGAATCCAAAATCTCCGTTTATGATGCCCCTGGATGGGCTCAAAATGGTGGTGACCAAAGTTTGAGAAGAATTCTCACCTATTCTTATTTTGTGTTTTAGTTGTGATAGTGTATTTATTGTATTTTTGTGCTGTGTGATTTTTAGTTGTTATATAGATAGTTGATAGGTATAGTATATTAGGGGGATCACAAAAAATATAATATATTTTACAATTGATGGATTTTTTTATAAGGTAAAGTACCTATACTACAGGAACCTGGAAAATATGAAAAAATAAACTAGACTGTTTTAACAAAAAACTCGCAGAATAATGTGTAATTGCAAAAACATATGGAGGAAGAAATTGCATTCGTATTATGCTGCAAAAACAATTAGATTTTTCCTTATAAACTATAAATGGAAGCCCGTTAATGAGGTATTAGTGTGCCAATTCATTTTTCTCGAAAGTAACTGAAACTGATGATAATTTTTCTTTGGAATTTTGAAAAAACATTGATGATGTCTAAAACTAAGTCGAAACATGTCCAAACTACCTTGTACCTATAGTACGACATGATTGTATTCAGGAGGAAAATAAGGTTTCAGAATCTGTAAATACATAATCAGGACCGTATTCAACGAAAAAGTTGATAATGGTTCCACGAATACGAAACTTCACATAAAGAATTCAATATCACCACGTTGAAATTCAACAAACGTTTGCTATATGGAAAACTATTTCATGTTTTTCTGTTTCTCCAGAAATAACATATAGAAAAAAAACATGATCTAGAATTTCCAAAAATTTTAACATTTTTCGATATCCTTTAACTGAAAATCTATATATAATTTCAAGAATTTTCGAAGTCTGTTGGGATGACCGTCTGAATGAGATACTTTTTCTCATTTAACCGATTTTCTACCTCCTATAATACCGTTTCCAAAATCCCCATGTTGTGATACCTACCTCATCTTTGTCACACCAAACTGTATATATTTAATTTAAGGTAGTGATATTGATTCAGTATGTCCCCAGGGTGGATGACGACTTTTGATTTTCCGACTCCTACCTTTGAAGAACAGTATTTCAATTGAAAATCCCGAGGAAATTTCTAAGGCATATTTGCGAGTTTTTACTAAATTCAAAATATTCAAAAAAGTATTAAACATTTTGTTGGATATACGTATGGACGTATGATGAGTGGGTCACTCTGTAATCATGAATATTTTATAATTTATCGATTCGAAATAAATATCCATAATTTTATTTTACAAAAAATAATACATGAAGGCATTACTTTAGGACTCAACTCGTGGTAGCCAAATTACTTAGTTCCTCATCTACCAAAACAGTATCCAGTAATTGCCTAAAAATAATCAAGATTTAAATTTTCACAAAAACAATCATAATACTTGTATACATTTTGCAAGTTATTATAGTCGAAATATACTCACTGCTTCTGTTTAGCTCGGTGTATGAAAAATATAACTGCACCATTTATTACGAATAATGCTAAAATTATCAAGGCAGGTGCTATCAAATCTGAAAAGGAAACGAAATTAGTAAAGAATCGGAAATATTTTTCGGTAGTATTACCTGAACCCATATTATTTTGTATCTTTTTCGAAACTACCACTATGATATCTCCTGTTTGATTACGAAATCCAGTCGATGATGTCTCTATAAAAAAACAGAGTTTGATAAAAAATTCATGAAAATAAGTTGGAATATGGATAGAACATTATAGGGGCAATACCCTCCATTGCCTTATAATGTCGAGTGTCGACGGCTTATGCATAATACGTGCAAACTATCGAATAATTAAAATAAATTCGTTTCGCGGTTAATTCGGGTTCAAGTTCAAAGAAATTATCGATTGTGATTATAAGTGATGTCACAAATTGTAGGTATAGGTAAAATACAGTCAAAGATAATACTCACAATAATAAATAATATTATTCCCTCAATAATTGTCACAACACACTGACTTTTTCGAACAGACTGAAATGAATAATTATTTTATTATGTTTGGCAATAACAAATGCAAAATATGTCAGCCACAACAAAAATACAGGGTGTCCCATTTTTCATTGTTCATTTCAGAAAACATGATGGAAACTATATGAAGAGTTGAATCACGGAAAAAGTTGCATAATTTCATAACTGCCTATCTCGTATTTAGAAAAAAACAAGATACAAAAGCAGGAAAACTACACATTGTTATAGATATACTTCTTCAATAGTCAAGCTGTCATTAATTCGAAATTTTGTATCTAGGCATTTTTTGGCATGACGATTTCATTGGCACCACTCGATTTTATCTCTTGGAGCGCACGAAAGGAAATTCCTATAATGATCGTAGAACATCGTGGAACATAGGAAAAATAGGAAGAGGAGAATTTTGTTTTCAATTTTTGGAGGTCATAAGAATGGGCGAGTGGACTATTGACATTCAATTATTCCACTGTTTCGTTAGGGACCTTAATTAATTTTTGCAACACTTATCACACTTTTTTTATGTAAATAATGAGTGTATGCGTTGTTCGAAATTGTTAGAATTTCGAAGCTCAATTCAAACGTATCGTCATGGCCACCATATTTGGCGATATATCGAATGAATGGTGACGTCAGCTTTTATGCTGTTTCATTATTGGTCAGATAATCTTCCATTCCCACTCACGAAGCAAGGTTGTCAAGTCACCAATTATAATCAAGTGATGAAAAAGATGTAAGAGTCCTGTCGTTGAATGAAACATAATAGGAGGAACCCATCATATTATAGTTCATTCTCGACTTATTCGAGCAACCAGCATGTCCAAATATTTCTTATACTCCATAACAAAATATCATATAAATGTTGGAGACTTGGCAACGTTGTGATGAATACTGAGAAGGGACAAGACCACGCCCACAAGTCATGCGCGCTGTGTTGTCACGTTCACCGCTTCAAAAGTCCTCTAGTGTGAATTAATATGATTACAATTTTGGCAAATGTATTATAAGCAAACCATAAGGGAACATTCTGATACAATTGATTTTGTATTGGTAAATAGGAACTGTGCTATGGTCTGCCTCTACTTACGAAATCGTGACGTCAATTTTTACACGCGGTAAATTTACATCAGTTTGAAAATTACCGTGGCATTACTGATGATTTTAACGCCTAAAAATCGACCGAAAAATTCTAAAAAAATATGAAATTGAAAGGTATTTCAGTGATGATTTATTCATTTATCATTTATTTAAGAAATGAAAAAATATTCCACTCGCCTAGTAGCTTAATAATATTCTTAATTCAATTATTTTTGTTCCTCTTACCTTTTTCAAGCTCCTATATTGTATAGCGAACAATAAAATAGGGGACACCCTGTATATCATGTGTGATGTGTGTACGCAGGTGCGAGTTGTGTTGTGACCATGTGAAAGTTTAAGAATCAATTAGAGTGCACATAACAATTTAAAATACTTACCTATGCTAAGAAAAATGATTAATGATTGGCTAGCATTAATTAAAGTTAGGTATATTATGTGAAACGACAGTTAAGCATGTTTTATTGATATACTGACAACGTGTTTCTTATTACGATATCGACACTTATACAAACACGAGTTTTTTGGAATTCAATAATGAATTAATGAATAACGTTCAAATTACTCGAATAGGACAATATGACTCTAACCTACAACCTTCAGACATTCACAAAATTATTCAGAACCCTGAATGAGTTGAAAACGAAATTTCAATAGTATATTACATGCTATCGAAAAAGATAAGATTGATAAGATTGTGTGTTAATGAAATGAGTATAATTATGTGATGTATTTCCATGTTATTTCGATATAAATACACGTTTTCGACTATTTCCACATGATAATTTCGAAGATACATTAGCGAGTACATCAGATACTCGAAATCTAAACACCATTATCAAATTTCACATCTAGCGAGATTCAAACTGACTTTTATTTCAATATTATACCATATACTACAGAAGAACTTAATATTTAGACTCGTTCGAAAGCATTCAGAAATTCATTTTCTCCAATACAGGGTGTTATTCAAGTATCTGGTCAAACTTCAAGAGATGCTTTGTTGGGTGTTTCTAAAAAAGGAAGTTCATATGAACATAGGTCCGGGCATGCTTATAGTTTTCAAGATACAGGACATTCTGAATCTTGAAAACAATGCATTCTGGATCTATGTTTTTTGCACTTTTCATTTTAGAATCACTCTTATAATCGCTTCTTGAAGTTTGACCACATACCTAAATAATACCCTGTATATTGAAGAAAAAAATTGAATATACTATAGGGAAAAATGTAATGATGCTACAAAATGACACATAAGACAGAATAGTTACATAGATCAATTAGTTAGTCCTAAATATGCTTATCTCCAACAATACGAATATCGTTTGGAAAAGTAACCTCTCGGCACTAGTGCAGTAAAGTAACTTTTCCGCACGATATTTTCAAGCACTGATAAATAATGAAATAGATTTTTTTTCATCGATTTAATAGGAAAATTATTTGAAGAACATTTAAATAACAAGTGAGGTACGTAGTTTTTGAAAGGTATCAGATTAGTATAGATGTAGTTTTCATTAGGTATTAGATTAGTATAGAGGTCAGATAATTTATACGACGCTATAAAAGCAGATGATATGTTATCATTGCTCATGTTAGATGGAAGTAGAGGCCATGGCACCATATCATGAGCATATTTTTATATTGAAACTATCATTGGGCACCAAAGATGTGTATATGATACGACGCTATGAAAGTTCAGAGAACTGGAGATTTTTCCCACAAACTACGTACTTAGCCCACTCGACTGTCTTGGTTTTTCCACACAAACTACGTACCTAGCCCACTCGACTGCCAATAGGGACTAAAAAAACAAAAACAAAAAAAAAGGTAAAACAATGCCATATTTCTTCTTTGTGGGAAATCAAGACACCTAGTTTATTGGCGAAAAATAAAGACAGTCGAGTGAGCTAGGTAAGTAGTTAATGGAGAAAAAATCAAGACAGTCGAGTGTGCTTTTTTTACTTTCTTTTGTTTTTTGTTTCGTTTTCTATTGGCAGGTGATTATCTAGGAACTTGTAATTTTTTTAGTTTTTTCATCGTATCTCCCGAACTATTGAATTCAGAGAAAAATGTTATGGGGATTTTTTGTAGATTCTATCGAAAGGAATAATTTTGGTTCCATAACATTTTCAGATATTTTCAGTTGTTTTCGAGATATTTGGAATCATCTGAGAATAAAATTTTCAACACTTTTGTTCCATCTTCCAATCAACAAATGGAAAAAATATTTCATGGTTCAGTGGAAGTCGATGATCTTCATCTATCGATAATCTCTTGTTTTTCAATATATCTTCATGGTACCTACCCTATGGGTCGTTAAAATTTTTTTTTCATATTTTTCACTTTATTTCCTGTACTATATTGGATTTACAGAAAAAATTATGGGAAATAATTTGTAGGAAATGTTCCAGTGGATAACTTTGCACTTCTGATAAATTTCGATTTTTCCATTTGTTCTCGATATATATTGAATTGAAAGGATTTCAAATTTTGATGTTTTGATTTTCATTTGTTTTTCCATTTTCCGCTGGATGTACGAAAAAATAGTTGAATGCTAATTTGTTGCGTCATCAAAGAGGTATACGGTGCATTTTTCAAATTTGGATTTAGTCTATTGGTTCAGGAGATAAGTATGTCGTTTCAAAGCGAACCGTGTTTTTCGGAAAATCTCTTTGAAAACCCCACTTGGAATTTCCCGACCCTGCTCAATTTCGATAGGCTTCGTCTCTTCCTGATAGAGTTATTTTTCACAGAAAATGAAATCGATCGGACCACTTTTGCGATTTGTAGAGTGGTTACAAGAAACTTCCGGTGAAAAATCGAAAAAATCTGGAAAAACCGCCTTAGAGTTTTCCGATTTCCTTTATATTTTAATGACATAATATTGTTTTGAGTACAATAAGATGGCAAAATTTCAAGTCGATATGTCAAAGGGTTCCGGAGATATATCGATTTATGATTAACACAGAGTGAAGACAGACAGACAGACAGACAGACCACACACAAAAACCAAAGTTGCTCAAAATTCGATGGGGATCATTTTCTCCAAAGTAACTGTACCTCTATCTCGCTTAGTTTCCGAGATAGCATTTTGGGCAAGGCCGTAGTATACTCCACTATGTATAGCGTCGTATAACAATAACTAAAACATTACCGATGGTAAATAATGAAATTGAAAGTGCAATTTGTGTTTGTTGCATGCTGTATAAGATGCAGCAACATCTTGGAGAACGTCGTTTCTTATTTGAATTTGATTGGTTAGTGTAGTGTAGTTAGTAAATAACAACAAAAACAACATTACCGATGGTAAATATTGAAATTGAAAGTGCAATTTGTGTATGTTGCATGGTGTAATACAGCAAATGCCGCAACATCTTGAAGAACGTCGTTTCTTATTTGAATTTGATTGGTTAGTGTTTGGCCCACTACAGAAATGCATTGATCAGTTTGTTGCTGAGAATAACTAGTGTTGTAAATGGAGAGATAGATTGGTATGAAATGCTTATTTGTTGACTGCCACTACTGTCAGTTTATAGCGACTGTTGATATGGGTACGTTCCCGTGCCAACAGTTATCATCCATCGTGTGGAAAAGTAAAAATAATGCGGAAAAGTAAAATCTTACAGAAAAGTACAACTTCCAAAACGAAAATTCATGCGGAAAAGTTACTTTTCTGCACGCTCTTTGGAAATATGATTTTGCAGAACGATATGACATCGATTATTTCGCAAACTGTTTCGAGAAACATGTTTCAAAACTCATCAGGTCAGTACTGAAAAGTATCACTTCATATTTCAAAATTAGGAAAACACTTAGACTCGAAATAAGCATCCTATTTTTCCTCTACCTGTCCAAGAATGTAGCAATTCAAGAGTAAAAACTTCAACTGGTACACCTACCCTAATGAATTCTAGAAGATAGTGCCTTCTTTATTGGTTAAAACATGAGTATAAACGATGGAAATTCAAACGAAACTCACCAAACTGTTTTTCAAGTACCTATTTCAGTTATCAATTTCCTGCCCGTCTAGCTGGCGGAAAAACAATTCACCGGATGTCATGCAGAAACCGCGCCGTGGTTGGTTGTTTCGCGCTCGACTTTCTGGATAGTATTGAATTAGTGAATAGATATGCCCGCGAAGGAAGTTTAGAATTCGTCATTCTGTAACTAAACGACTGTTTATCAGTAGGTACAGTCGTCGACAAAAGCTGTTGATGCTTCGGATTCCCCACTATATTCTCATTCGAATTTCCGGATGGACTTGTTTCGCAAGGAGGGTGCAAAAGGAAATAAAATGAAGGGGAATAGAAATCGATCAAGTATTTGGCATCTTTCGATCAATAATTATTCATGCATGCAGCAAATAATGAGCAATTCTCCCACTAGTGGAAAAAGTCCAATGACTAGAAAGAGTTGATACCGCGCATCTGATTTTTGCAATTTCCAACGGAAATCAGACTGTACAGGAGATTGACTGAAGATTTCACGCTATCAACACTCGATATCTCAAAAACTAATCAAGATATTGAAAACGACTAAAATAATTCTTGAATCAGATGCTCTTCTTTTTTTATTGATAAACAGCAAACCCAGTTACATCACAGAGATATCCCAGCGATATAACAATTGTGACCTGCAATATCGCATTCTATGTCGCATAGACGTTGCTCTGATGTCCGAGGGATGTTATTTTGTCCCACTCAGGATCCATCCATACGACGTCGCTGCGATAAGTTATCTGCGATATAACAGCGATATATTTTTTGCAATGTAATTGCGATATGTTATTTGTGATGGAAACGCGTTGTGTTTTTGCGATGAAACTACGATTTTATGCGAGATGACATCGCAGTAAAACGAAAAAAAGTTTTCTCGAACATGATGTGATATTAGATACACCACCGAGTTCTGATGACATCTAATTTTGATTATGTGTTGTTGTGACTGGTTGGTAGTCTCTCCGGTCTCCTGTCCATTCAAACGTCTTTTCAGCGGCGCTACCCTTGGTAAGTACAGCCAGCTGCAAGGAAAATGTCGCAGTTGGATGGTGTTAGAGCTCTTATTGCATCAGTGACTACAGGTATCGTCACCGCCCATATGCGACATGTTCATTGCATCTGACTGTACCTATCAGGATGAGGTCTATAAAAAAATATTGAAAAATTCTCGTATATGAGTTTACTTGCTGCTCTCTGTACATCGCAGCGATGCAACGTTCGTGATATCGCATTGTTATCTTAGATATGTCATGTCGAAGATGTAATTGCTTCTGTACATCACAGCGATGGAACATTCGTGATATCGTAGTGTTGCTTCATCGCGACAACTCAGAGTTGTTATGTCGCAGATGTGTTTGCTTCTGTACATCCATGCGATGGAACATTCGTAATATCGCAGTGTTGCCTTATCGCGACATCTCATCAGAGATGTCGTATCGCAGCTAGATGTGTTTGCTTCTGTACATCACAACGAAGGAACATTCGTAATATCGCAGTGTTGCCTCATCACGACACCTCAGACATCTCATGTCGCAGATGTATCTACTTCTGTACATCGAAGCGATGGAACATTCGTGATATCGCATTGTTACCTCATCGCGACATCTCAGAGATGTCATTCGCTGATGTGTTCGCTTATGAACATCACAGAAATGGAACATTTGTGATATCGCACGTTACCTAAACGCGACATCTCAGAGATGTAAGTTCACAGATGTGTTGGCTGGGAACATACTAATTGTGGGAATGAAGATTATCGATCGAAAACAGCGAATTTCTGCTCAACCACAGTAATTATTAGCTAGTTTCGTGACAAAAACTCTTATTGAAGATTTATTACTTCAATTTACCTCAAATTACTAGATGAAATGTAGGAAAACTAGATATTCCTTGAATCAAGGTGTTCCATTCGAAAAACAAACACTTTCTCACACAATATTTTGATTATTTTTCGGGATATCGAGTGTTGAAAGCGTAAAATTTGTAGCCAATCACATAGGTACATACATTCATACATACAAGAGTGTTTTTTTTTCTGACGAAATTCTATTTTGAGTAGGCATGTACGTCAATGGACTCTCCCAATGATTCATTAAAAATAATCTCCCACTTGACCTCTGACCTCAAAACAAAACACGAACGGACTTTTAGCCGATTGTACTAGCATTGTGTTAAATAATGAATCTATTTTTAAGCCACTATAGAGAAAATCTTTGTTAGACTCATCTTCTGTTATCATGGATTATGATTGAATCTATCGTACTTTAACAGGAAATATTGATCACATGTGAAAAAATATGTATGTACTAGCGCGAGCCGTAAAATACTTCTCTGTTCTCAAATTCCTTATATCCATATACCAACTCATGAAATATGATTTCCAGCGGTATATTGTATATAATTTCTTCTCCATCCCATTCCATGAATCTCATCACTTATCACTCTCTACTGTCCTTTCAGACAATTCATTTCTTCTTGCACCAAAAATTACGTAAATCCAGTTTTGGGGAATTTGGAGGGGGGGTCCTCACTTTAACTGGCCAAAATCGAGTGCATTTCAGGATACATGTGTATATAAAGAAAAAGTCTTATTTTGATATCAACGACGATACGTCCTTAAAATATTGATATCGGATTTTGAATCACCCCGTATAATCCGAATTTGTTTATTAGTAAATTTTCATGTACAAGCAACACGATACATATTTTTTTCCAAGAAAAAACATGCACATAATCCGAAAAAAAATCAACACATTGATAATAAAAATCAGATTGAGTATACTCACTTTGACAATCAAGAAGTGGCAGTGAAGTGTTCCAAAAAGCACCTAAGCAGCTAATAGTTCTAGTTCTGGTACCCGTATCAGGAAATTGGTACCCCACACAACAACTCAACACCATCGAATTATAATTCCTACAAAAAATTAGTTTTTTCAAGTCCCTATTGATTTTTGTAGGCAGATTTCATATTTCATGGTCACGAAATTAGAAAACATCTCCAATTCCTATTTTCAATGATGTTGTTGAGAAGAGAAGGACAAGTTCTTTGAAATGAGGTGCCACATTGTACTTTTATTTCTTGATTCCAATGAGTTGAAAGGCATCCAAATAAAATGAGAAATAATCAATTCGTTACACGGAAACAAAATTTGAGATCCATAATCCAACAGATAATTGAAAATCATTTGAAATGAGATGCAACACGACAGTTTTGTCTCTTGAAACTACTGAGTTGATAAAATTCGAAATACTCAGTAAATGTCAATGAGGAATTCAAGAATATTTATGAAAACCACGTAGGAAATTTCATGGAGTAATAATTCGAACAATGTTGGACATAATTATTGCCTAATGGGAGATACAATGTCAAAATAAAATGAGAAATAATCAATCGTTACACGGAAACAAAATTTGAGATCCATAATCCAACAGATAATTGAAAATCATTTGAAATGAGATGCAACACGACAGTGTTATCTCTTGAAACTACTGAGTTGATAAAATTCGATATACTCAGTAGATGTTAATGAGAAGTTGAAGAATATTGATGAAAACCACGTAGGAAATTTTATGGAGTAATAATTCGAATAATGTTGGATATAATTATTGCCTCATAAGAGTTATTTGGAATGAAGTGCGACATGACTGAGTTGATAGAGTTGGTTTATATATGATGTTATCAATTGTTAACTTGAACTCTACATTTCAAATCAATTAAAATGATGAGAAAAGATTCACAGAATGAGGAGTTTAACTTATAAAAATATGAGAAAGACTCATTCTTCAACCATCAGCAGTTCAGGAAGAAATTATCGTATCGATAGTTCGACACAGGATAAAAATTCATTTGATATGAGATGCAACACGTTATACTTATATCCAAAAACCACAGAGTTGATAACGCGAAACCGCCATCTATGACACCTCCAATGCTAACAAACCGCTACTGCCTATATCCGAATTAGACACTTCCTCTCACCTATACACAACGTAGACATCCTGAGGAATGTCAATGTCGGAACATCCCACTATGCTGTATCGTATCAGAAAACCCCTCCTCGGATTGAATTCATGTCTGGAGCTGAGCACCACCTCGATGGATTCGGTGGCCGAGATGATTTCCGTGGGAGGGTGCTGCTGTCTGCAGGAAGAATGGATCACTTGGCCGCTATCCCTTATTTCGAGGACGTCCGTGCAGTCTTGCGATCCAACATTGTCAACTACACAAATATTAAAAAACATCACAATTATGCATAAAAGCAATTTAATTATCTTTTTTAGTTTTTTCAGAATATGCTCCCGATAGTTGATTAGATGAGTCAAAATCCTGTAGAATGAGATGTAACATGATATAATTATCTTCTGAATTGACGGAGTTGATATGAGTCAGAAGGCACCAACTAAATTCGGCCAATTGCGACTGTTTGGTTCATGTATTGAACCGGCCATGGAGGAATAAGAAAAAAGTCATTCGGAATGAGATGCAACACGATAGGGTTATGTTTCAAAACCACAACGTTGATAAATTCCTGAAAGCACAAACAAAATATGCCCAATTGAGAATATATGATACAAATATGAGAACGACAGTTGAAAAATGGAGCAAGTCATATGAAATGAGATGCAACACGATAGGGTTACCTTTTGTAATCACAAAACGGATAATACCTACTCCGATTTGTCAAATGGAGGTTTGATAACCTTATATAACGAGATAATTCACGGCAAAAATTCAACACTTCAGTTGAATTCGATGTCTATTAGAAATAAATCCGAGTAGAATAAATGGAAGCAATTTAATTCTCTTCCAAAACAATTTTTTTCAGAATATGCTCCCGATAATTGATTAGATGAGTTAAAATCCTGTAGAATGAGACGTAACATGATATTATTATCTTCTGAATTGACGGAGTTGATATGAATCAGAAGGTACCAACTAAATTCGACCAATGGAGAATGTTTGGGTCATATATTGAGTCGACCATGGAAGAATGAGGAAAATGTCATTCAAAATGAGATGCAACACAATAGGGTTATGTTTCAAATCACAAAGTTGTTAAATTCCTGAAAGCACAAACTAAATATGCCCAATCGAGGAAATATGATACAGATATAAGAACGACAGCTGTGAAATGGAGCAAGTCATATGGAATGAGATGCAACACGATAGGGTTACCTTTTGTAATCACGAAACGGATAATACTTACTTTGATTTGTCAGATGGAGGTTTGATAACCCTTTACAACGAGAAAATTCACGGCAAAAAATTAACGCTGTTGATATCTGAACAAGGGACGATTTTAACTGTCAACTACACAAACATTGAAAGACATTACAATTATGCATATGACTATTAATATGATTTTCTTCGATGTCAATCAGAAAGAAATCCGAGTAAAATGAATGAAAGCAATTCAATTCTCTTCCTGAAAATGTTTTTTCAGAATATGCTCCCGATAGTTGATTAGATGAGTTGAAATTCTTTAGAATGAGACGTAACATGATATTATTATCTTCTGAATTGACGGAGTTGATATGACTCAGAAGGCACCAACTAAATTCGACCAATGGAGAATGTTTGGTTCATAATAATATATTGAAATTCGAACTGAGATGCAACACGATAGGGTTATGTTTCTAAACTACAAAGTGATAAATTCCTGAAAAAACAACAAAATATGCCCAATTGAGAATATATGATACAATTATGAGAACGAAAGTTGAAAAATGGAACAAGTCATATGAAATGAGATGCAACACGATAGGGTTACCTTTTGTAATCACAAAACGGGTAATAACTACTTTGATTTGTCAGATGGAGGTTTGATAAACCCTTATAATGGGAAAATTCACTACAAAAATGGATTGCTTCAGTTGACATCTGAACAAGGGACGATTTTGAAGCTGATTATGAAACCTTGATAACAACTGAAGCCGCAATTCTTCATACTGGGCATGATTCACAACTATTTGAGTTGAATTGATGATTAATTCAGTCAAAATCTTTCAATATGAGTTACAACACCATACTTTCATTCGGAAGGAACACTGAGTTGATATGAAGCTGATTATATCATCGTCTCTGTGAACTGCAGCTTTCGAAAGCATTCATCGGTTACCAGAAAAACTCGTCATTTGAATAAATGGTGTTGAGTAGTTGAATTTTTTAAGAGGAACTCAATTTATCAATTTTCAATTTTTCATGAAAATATGGCAGTGACAGTTGAATTAGAAATGAAAACTCCTTTGAAACGAGGTGCAACACGACGTGTTTATCTATAGAAACGACGAAGTTGAATAGTTGGTTCTCCGCCATCTTACCGATAAGGGATATATCCAAAATGGCGACCCTGATTCGCTGTTGAGGCGCCCCCTTGATGGCCCACCTGCATTCCTTGTGGCCCGAATAGAATCTGGGATAGCCGGGATTGTGGATGAATCCCTCAGAAGTATCTCTGTTCTGATGAGTCGGTAGCACTATAACGCTGTTGCAGTATTTCTTGATCCTATCTTCTGGAAGTATACAGGGTTTCATCGTAATCATGAAAATATCGCGGGAAGGTCTGAGAAAATAGTTATGTTAACTTTTTTCACACGGAGTTTCCAAGAAACGGCTTTCTACGCATTAAAAAAATACTTCTGATGTTATTAGAAATTGTTCAATAATTCTAACTGATGAGAATATTTGAAAATGTCACGTTGATGTTATTTAAAATAAAATGATTCAAATTTACAACTTTTTGTCACTTGAATTATTCGACGTACGTTGATTTGTTTTTGAAAAAAGAAAGAATAAGAATGATTTCACGATATTAGTCTTGGAAAACATGTATAAGAACTTTTTTTTTTTGTTTGCGAGGAACCTACCCTTGATTATTTATCGATATTAAATTTATCTCCTGTAGACTACAAATTTCTGAACCAGAGAAATATAGATTTGAATACAGGGTGTTTCATAATATATGCGCAGAACTTCAGGATGTGATAGCTCATCCAAAGATATGAAAAAAAATTATATTAACTAACCCTCTGAAATGCAGCATTTTTGAGATATATAGGGTGTTTTTGCGAATATCTCTGGAATCTATAATCGCACAGAGACAAGCTTTTGTAAACATTTCGTATTCACAATGAGCTTTATATTTTGTGCGGAATTATTTTTTAAAGTCATAATTGGTGGAGATTTTGAAAGGGTAGTTGCTGTTATTCATCCCAACTTCTACGCCACTGAAAAAAGTGCAGTTTTGATCCACTCATTTGAACCGCCAATGTTTTCTTCACAGAAAAGGTAGTACTACCTACTATAAAGTTGACGTGACCGCTTTCGAGAATAATCAACTTTTGTGTTGAAAAACATGGACAATTTTTCGAAGAATTGCTGCGTGCTGTATTGAAGCTAACCTGAGTATGATTTGTTATCGTTCTTTCTTTTAAATTTGCAAAAATTATGAAGTCAACTTTTGATTTTGTTACTTATTCCAACGTTTGAATACATTTTGTTCAATTAGTAAAAAAAAATGATTCGAAAAATTTTTCCATGTTTTTCAACATAAAAGTAAGTATTTCTAGAAAACGGTCAACTTTAGAACTTATGGCGAAGAGTACCTCTTTAGAAAACATTAACGGTTCGAATATAGGTGACTGTACTTTTCCCAGTGACGTACGGTTTCAGAGATATTCGCAAAAAAACAATTTCATTTATGAATTTCAACACCCTTTATCTCAAAACTGGTGCTTTCGAGGGGGTAAGTTGATAACATCTTTTTTTTTCGTATTTTTAAAGGAGCTAACAAATCCTGAAGTCCTGCGCATATATTATGAAACACCCGGTATATTAAAATAATATATTTCAGCTATTTCGCTTGCACTTCGTAGTTTGTCGATAGATTGTACTGAATCACCCTGTATAAAACATTTTAGCCCTGCTGCGGTCTGTGTGTTGACTCATGCCCTTTATTATTGAGATATGATCCGTGAAAATTTTATATACGGAGCGTGGATATTAGTCAATCTTTCGGATACCCAATGTAGCACATACGCCCTCCTATTGTTAACAAAAGCCCTATTTTTGAATTGAAAAGGTGTGACATATTCTGTTAATCCTGTCACAATGGAAATATCGAAGGGCTTTTTGAAATTGTTGAATCCCGCAAAGTAGGTAGGAAAAAGACAGATAATGATTGATTGCCACGTATGGAATTTTTCGAGTGAGGGGAAAGGAACATGACTGATGTTATTGATTTTAGTTTATTACATAAAATATAAAAATTAAACCGATGATATTGAACTCTATTTGAATTGAATGATCTATATGTACAGGGTGTTTCAAAAAAACCTAACCCCCTTGCTAGGGTAGGTAGAACATTGCAAAATAAGTTGGGTTTGCTCAGTAAAAAAATGTCGTAACGCCATCCGTTTTCAAGATACAAGGTGTTGAAACAATATTTTTTTACACATTTTTTACGATTAATTTGAAACTACGGGCAACATTGTGATCGCATGCATTTGTTTTTATATCTGACTCTCATAGAGAGCGCTAGTTACACGGTTCGTACCGAGTAGTTTTGAACATAACTTTTTTGAGGTTAGATTTTTCAATCCAAATTTGATGTGAACTTGAACATCATTCAATTTCACACCAAAATGGTACTCTTGGTAAAACTCGATACTGTGTTCCGTTTTCGGAATATTTCGATTTGAAAATGATGAAGTGGTAACTGTTGCTGGTATAAAGCTATGTATTAGAGTGAGTATTATGAAAAATCATCACCTATTTATTGAAAACCGAAAACAACAATACATTTCTGATGCAAAACTCATTGATTTAACAATGAATCACAAGAATAACATCGAAACAGATTTGACTAAGAACATGGATTACACAGTTTTGTTGTATCTTGAGCAGAAAGTCTATGCTAAATAGCTTCATTCACGTCAAGAGTTGTGAGACATAATTGAACATCACTTAGATGACCTAACAGCTGATCCTCAACTGTTCAGAAGAATAATATTCATTCTTAAAAAAAGAATATAGAATCGTGTATTCCTCGAAACGTATAGGACATTTTGAACACTTACTCTAACTGATTCAATATTTCATGTTTCTACCCAAATATCTCTCAATTTTCTGCTTATGATTCTTTGTTCCATCAATAACTTCAGCACAAGAATAATTATTGTTTTCGAACCTGAATAAATAGGTAATTGAACTCAATAAAATTCAATTTATACCAGCATCATTACATTATTTTCAAATCGAAATATTCCGAAAACGGAACATAGTATTGAGTTTCACCAGGAGTACCTTTTTGGTGTTAAATTGAATGATGTTCAAGTTCATATCATAGTTGGATTGAAAAATCTAACCTCAAAAAAGTTATGTTCAAAACTACTCGGTACGAACCGTGTAACTAGCGCCCTCTATGAGAGTCAGATATAAAAACAAATTAATGCGATGTGTCAGATTTCAAGAAACATCCATGCAAAATGTCATTACAATGTTGCCAGTAGTTTCGGAATAATCGTGAAAAATGTGTAAAAAAATAATTTTTTCAACACCTTGTATCATGAAAACGGATGCCGTTACGACATTTTTTCACTGAGCAAACCCAACTTATTTTGCAATGTTCTACTTACTTTAGCAAGGGGGTAAGGTTTTTTTGAAACACCCTGTAGATAATAATTTCCTATAAGATATGAAATTTGATTCACTATTTTGCGAATATAGAGTTACACTTCAAAATAATCTGAAGAATAGGAATACAATTTTGCAACTTTGATCGAGAATAATGCTACTATGTTAAAGCTAGATTTAGGAAGATGAATATTTTTTACAAATTACAAGAATATTTCGTCGTCGTTTCAACTGATCACCCACTATTGAGAAAAGCATATACAAGTCAATATTAATATAGGAAATGTGTGAGGAAATATAGAAACCATATGTCTCAGGATCAAGCGTTATATTTCACTGAAGCTTTTAAAAATGTCATCACTTAATCATGAACATATGAGATACTAATCCGGAACGTTATTTTTTTAGATGATGGATTCATTGACCTGATATTACGTAAGAGGGATAACATTTGTTGGAAAAATTGTTCTTTTTGGGAATAATGGAAAAATATCACCTTAAATGGAAAAAAAATCCTGATATATTTGGAAACCAATTTCTAGATGTGAAAAACTGAAATTTGATTTGTTGAACAATCGTGAATTATTCCTATTGATATATACATACTCACCAGTAATACAAGCATATTTTACTGTAACATTTCCAGTAACAGAATTATTTCTATCAAGACAATCTTCTGAGTAAACGAAGCTGCAATGGTTCAGACCAGAACACCTGCAAAAAAATACATTCAAAATGGATTACTAGGAACGTTTTCTATATTTGAGACTGCACGAGTGAATCTTTTTTGCCCGAGTGTAGAACTAGCAGCATCAAGGTGAAATAAGTTATATTGTCTAGTTTGATGCCTATGAATTTCAAAATTTCTTTTCAAAATAATATTAGATCTCAATTTTTTATTCATGATATTCTATGAAATTTTCAGAGTCTCTAATCTGTACAGTTCTTCTGAAGAATATCTTTTTTTTAAGGCATACAGTTCAGTTGTTGGTGTATCATATGGAAGACAATACAGTAGATTTCCTATATAATGTTGATAGTTTATTAAAATTATTTTTAGAACAAGATCCCTGAATTGCAATTTTCATATTGAGTTTGGGACATCTTCTCAATGCACCAATAATAGGAGATATTTTCTTTGTCCCTGAATATGTTTGTCCACCTTCAATTTTTCATCAAACCAAATACCTAAATACTTTATCTGTTCAGTTTGTTTCAAGAATTCATTCTTTATTTGAAGATTGAGCTGAATTTTCTGTTTATTTTTTGTTGAGAAATCATGTATTCAGTTTTTCTGGTATTTACTGATGAAAGGTTAGAGTGGAGCCATTTTTCACAAAATTTCAGATCGTTATTTATCATAGTTTCTAAAATAGAGGATTTTTGTTTTCATATAAAAGCACTGTATCGTCTGCATATATGGTATAATTACTCGCTTCAACATATATACATTTGATTAAGTATGCAGTTTTGTAGTACTAACGATAGTGATCAACTGTCAACTATGTCGTAGAACGTGAAAATTGATTGAGTTAAATTTGGTAAACCATACAACACATGGACATCCGATGGATGTCCATAGGATATCCATTCAGGATATTTTGGATATCCAATGGACATCCAAATAACGTCCAATGGATATCCCATGGACGTCCAATGGATGTCCTGAGGCCACCAACTTGTACGTCCATAGGATATCCTTCACGGACGTCCATAAAATATCCTTCAATGACGTCCATAGAACATCGTTCAAGAACGTCCATACGATATCCTTCATGGACGTCCATAAGATATCCCTTATGTTTTCATGGGTGGTCATATGACAGTCTACGGGCAAATTGATACTAAGGCGCATGAGCCGAACACAATAAACGACATCAGTTCTACTCTGTTCTATGCGCATCTGTTAGCTGGCGAGTGAACGTATGATTATTCATTGTCTCGCAGACTGTCATTTGTTTCTCAAAACTGGCTTCAATTTTGAACAAGGAAAGGATAGGACGTTACCCATATAGTTGTTATTAAATATATGGGACCCACATGGACATCCAAAATATGTTTGGTGAGTCCGACACTGCCGACTTTGTCGACATCTCTATGTTATTCTGGGCGTTATTGTTCAACGACGTGGTTCAATGCTCCAATACAGGATATCCCATGGATATCCATTGGATATCCAAGAAGACGTTGAAAAATTCCATATTCGATATATTATATATTTCATCAATTTAATTCATATTCACAATTTATTACATTGATTATATCCGCGCGGGTGAATTTTGGATATCCTATGGATATCCAAAAAGGTCCAAGGATATCCCGACATGAATTGGACATGATTTGGACGTCCATAGGATATCCCGTGTTGTATGGGAAACGTGTCGAACACAATTTGGGGCATGTGGCTTTCCCAATTAGCCATATGTTGGGGTAGCGAGAAGAGACGTAAAAGTGTGCCGATTTTGGGGGAGATATGACAAGGCTGTAATGGCCTTTTACCAGCTTTCTCACGAAACTGAACATAACGGTCGATAATAGAAGCTAGGATTTTCACGAAATTACTCACAGAAAAGTCAATCAGAACCAAAGCGAAACAGAATTGCGATAATTTGCTACTAATATTCAGGGATTAGTTTATTTATATAGCAAGATCGATCGATAGATTATGCTGGACACACTACACTGTTTTACCACTAACCAAACCGATTTTTTAACGCCTCGACACGTGTTTCGCTAACTATGTTAGCATCTTCAGGAGAAGATTAAACAGGTTAGTGGTAAAAGGTAAAACAGTGTACTGTATTATCGTGCCAAAAGTTCCAGTCTTCGATATATCAAAGATTATGCTGGGTTTATAGATTCAACTGAACTAAGAATTAAACTGACAACTATGAACTTGAAAAGTTGAATACATGGAAACATCTATGCATGAGGGTTTATACATTTACATCTGTCAATTAAATTAAGAATTATGAATTACAAAGTTGGCCAACTTTCAACTTAACAACTAAGAATTAGAAAATTCTGTGGAGACAGAACATGAAGATGGAGATTTTATGGATTCATGAAATCACTTTTTAACTTCATATTGATCTACAATCGAAGCACATTTCACATCTAATTCGTAATTATTATCAGATATGTATAAACACCCTCATGATAATTAATTGTTGATTGTTAATTGTTAATTCCTAATTGTTAGTTTAATTGAATCTATGTATAAACCCAGCATTTAGCATCGCAAACATTAAAGTCACACGACAAAACTATGTCTAAATTATATTCTTATAGTTTAGTTGGGTTTTTTTATTGGCATATATTGTACTTCGGTTTTCGATTTGGGATAATTTCCGTTTTTCGTACGTAAAAAATCCATAGAACAGTCAATAGAGTCCATAGAATGGAGTATAGAACAAATTACAGCTATCAAACATAATAATGCTGGGTTTATAGATTCAATTAAATTAACAATTAAGAATTAACAATTGAGAATTAACAATTAACAATCAACAATTAATAATCATGAGAGTGTTTATACAAATCTGATATTAATTAAGAATTAAATGTGAGATGTTTTTTGATGAAAGATCAAAATGATGTCAAAAGGTGATTTTGGTCTCAATTCATGAATCCATAAAAAATATTCCGATTTGATATCACCAATCTCCAATTGAATAATGAAAAATCCAATCTTCACGTTCTGTCTCTAGAATTTCATAATTCTTAGCTGTTAAGTTGAAAGTTAGTTGGCCATAAACCCTCATAAATGTTTCCTTGTATTCAACTTTTTTAGTTCATAGTTGTTAGTTCAATTCTTAGTTTAGTTGTATCTATAAACCCAGCATAAAACATATACTAGAAAACTCACCTATGTGCTATGTGCCTAAAAATACCTATACTATCCTTATCGAAACTATCACGTGACTGGCCAATGCAATAGTACCTTCATCACTAATTCATTGAAAGAAAATTGGGGCTGGGTTTTACGCACAGGATCAATATCTCCTCGCCACGTACCGTTTTAGAATTTCGCATGTATTTTAGGTTTGCTCACATTTGGTTCTCTAAATTTCGTTCCAATTTCATTTTCATAGGTCAACTGGGCCGAATTACGCAAATTCAATCTTTGGACCGCCACGAATCAGTGTACAAAGTTGTTTATGTCAGAGAACGTTGTTCACATACTTATTCAATGGAATTTGTAAAATTTCAATTGCTATTCATAACTTTTCATAAACCATTAAACTGAAAATTTCGCATCTTACATTTTATCACCTGTTCTATCGATCTGAAATATTTTCGAAATTGCGACGTTGCCGTTTCTATCAAAAAGTCCTAGCAACTTCATTTTTTTAAATGGATGAAATTATTTTGTAATCTTACAAACTTCCTCTTGTTCATTGGTGTCAATTCAGGGTACATTTGGTTGAATTTTCTGCAAGTTCTGGCAATGATTTGAATAATCGATATTTGCGTTCATTCTGGGAGATTTTTTGAAAGACTGTCAATAACAATCACTGAATTACTCATTAATGTCACCGAACTGTCATGAGTTTGATATATCCATGGCTATCTAAAATTAACTTTTTCATAAAATTATATTCTTCACAAAAAGCGGCTTTATCAAGAAAACTTTATGATTTAGGTATAGGGACATGCTATGTCATCTTGTAGCATTTTTATTCGTCTTTCAATTTATTGATTAAAAAGCAGTGGGTTCCGTTTGAAAAAAATATTTTTTGACCACTTGTATGAACAACAGATATAATAATAATTTCAGCACGCCCTGTATGATATGGAGGCGACTTCTCGGTGTAAATTGAATACATCAAGTCTGTCCAAACCACCACTGAAATATCAACTCTGTATGATTCGAGAGCACTGATTTACATAAGTTTAATTAGGGATATGTTTTGGATCATATTTAACACAAATTATTTTTTATCTCGAAAACCGATAGAGATAGGTATATGGATTTATTAACAAAAGAGTATTGTAATAAAAAGGCAATTCTAAAAATTCGTTAATATACGGGGTGTTCCATTTAAAAAAATGAAGTTGCTAGGACTTTTTGATAGAAGCGGCAACGTCGCAATTTCGAAAATATTTCAGATCGATAGAACAGGTGATAAAATGTGAGATGCGAGTACCATCGACCGCGAGTTTCCCTGTATAAGAACGAACAGTTGTTCACTGAAATATATTACGTGTATGAAATATTGTATAAATGCGATTAATAAATATTGTGAAAATAATGCATATATATCGAGTGCATAAAATGTGAGGGCAATTTTTCTCCTGGCAAATAGCGTTTCTTCAAAATAATCTAAATTCTCTTACAGACTAAGCGAAAGATGTCATTTAAAATATTTTTTGTAATTTGAGTAATTCTATTCAAGCTTCAGAAAATAATATCAAAAAATGTTTATTTAGCGCAATTGACATTCTTCTCGCCATCGATCTTGCCGAAAATCAGAGTGAGAAAATTATCCTGGACAAAATGTTCCAGTTTGTCCTAGTTTCACAGAGTTGAGGGTGTTTAAGGCAAAATATGAATCATCAACAACTATTCCGTCAGATTTTTCTGAAATTTTGAGAGAAAAATGGGGTGTGTTCAGATTGTAAGTGGAGAAAAAAATCACTAGAATGAATTTTTCTAATTTCCATCCACAAAGTTTTTGCAGTAGACCATACTGAAAATAAGATAGTCATTT